CTTTTACTTTAACAGGTCACAGATCTGAGCATCCACAATGCAATTGGCATACAGCTTTCTCATTCTACATTTGATGAGAAAAGGTGTAAAACTGCCTCAAATTCAGATCTGGAGAATTCATTCTTATATCTTTCTTTAAGAAAGTTGATAGCTAAAGGAAGCTGAGAAATCAGTAGCCTACAGATCCATTAGGCAAAATCCAGATAATGCTGATGAATTTCTTTTGAGGAGAAGGACAGCATTATTTTTCAAGAGAATGATTTCAGAACAGTTCTGCCACTGTGGCTCAGCCTGACTAGCACTCATGTTTTCCTGAGAACTCCACCCAGGGCTTAGACATGTGAGAATGTGTATAATTTAATGAAATTAAAGTCCTATGCCCAGCCATGGAAGAAAGCTTTCAAAATTACTGTTTACTGATTTAGGTGCTTGAGGGTCATATGAAAGCAAGCCACCCCTGACTTTGAGTCAGCTGGTGTGAGGAGAGGCAGTGAGCTCTGCTTGCCTGCTGAAGGGCACCACCCAGGCAGAGCTTTGGACCTGCAGGCCAGCTTTTGTCACTCTCCATCCAGGCAACCAGGGCTTCTACATTCAAGAGAGAAGTCCAGTCCTAACCCAAAATCTAATCTAAAATCCACTGGCACTTTGGCCATCTACTCCTCTTCAGAAGAGGAAATGGGGTAGGAAAACCATGCTGATTGCTTGGTGTCTCCTAAAACCAGGTACTGAAGCCCTTCTCTCACCCCTTCCCATTTATAACCCACAGTATTTTCCTGCACTGCCTGGTCTGCTGTCATTTAGAGCAACTTTGTCCTGCCTGGTGTGTGACCTGAACCCACCCACACTGTGCCTTCTGAACTCCTCCATCAGCCCTGACCCTGCCCAGCTCTGCTGCTCTTTGTGGGGCAGGCTGGAGTGCCCACAAACACTGAAATTTGTTTACATCTCTGTCTGGAGGCTCTGCATGGAAACCCTGCAAGGCTGATATTTGTTGTCTGTTGATTCAAAGCCACTTAAGCCAGTGAAACTGCTCCTTCCACCAGGCAGATTTTATCTTAATGCATTTCTGGGATATATTCTGGTCTTCCACAATAAGGCAGCCCTCCAGGAACAATATGCTGTCTTGTGGGTAACACTGCTCATTTGCCTGAATGTCATCTGCCACAGCCAATTTGGATCAGGTTTTGGATTTCTCCATTGTAAAGTATTTTTGAGTGTTTCTGAAGAATAATAGCCCCTTAGCACAGTCTGGGAGAGCCTTCAAGATAATAACTAATGCACCATGGGCAAATTTAACTTTTTCTATGTTTATAATCAGTCAGAAGCTCTCCATTCCACATACTACTTTTCCCTTATTGAAACTGGCATTCTGTATGCAGTGCCAGTTTTCAGTTTTTGCTTATACTGAGACACCCAAATAATTCCAGTCAGTCAGGTGTAGGAGCTAGCACAGCAAGTGTTCACACACACTCTCAAAGCAACTGAAATGCACTGAGATTGTTTAAAAACATGAAACTGAGCATCACCTTCCATTTGACATAAGCAGCAGGGTTATTTAACAGAGTTCTATAAAGAAAGCAATTCTGTCAGGTAAGTGATATCACATTAACTTCAAACTTTCCAGCACACCCCAGTTAATCACCACAAACATCATTCCACGAGGCTATGTGCCACATTTCTAACACATCTGCCAACCTAATTTGTCTATAAACACTCTATATAGAGTTTTGGGTGTAAATATAAACACTATATAGAGTGTTTCTGTCCAGTAAGCATCATGACAAGTTTTGCTTCTTGCCCCTGGGAGAAGACAACTGCTGATTAGACATCCCAATTATAGCAGGCACGGTCTCTGAATAAGCCTCTATTCTGCAATTTTATTTTTCTCTGAAAAGGAAGATGATTTGTGTGGGTTTATCTCATAAAGCCTCCATGAAAACTGCCAGGTCACCTACATTTATCTTCATTGGGAATAATGCTGTAACACTACTGACATGACTTTTTTCAAGAAGCAACATAGATGCACTTCTCTTCTTTGCAGAATTAATCTTTTTGAAAGCTGTCAGAATTTTTAGACCTGTGTTAGCTGGTGGTTTTGAGCTCTGTCATCTCCTTTCTTTTTCATCTTGGATATAAGAGCAGCTTTCTCAACAGAGCAGGCCAGTTCTTTTGCCTTTATTTTACCTTGGCAGTTAGTGAGGCAGCCCATTGATAATAAACAATGTACTTCAAAGACTTAGCAAATCTCTACAAAGCACTATTTTTAGTTTGGTTATCAAACAAATAGAACAGTAGCTTATGGAGGATGAAAACAAGCTCCCTTTTCAAAGCATGTTTTGCAATAAGCCAAAGATGATATTGCACAAAACCTTACATCTCCTCTTAAATCAAGGGACTATCACATGGACACTCTGCTGCTCTGCTTCTCCCAGCTGTCATTTCCTCCCATGCACAGCCACTGGAATATCTTCCCTACACTTCTTTAATATCCATTAGCAGAAAGCAATAAATAATTGCACCAAAAAACCAACCCTTCAAGCCAGTTTTGGGGTAGCTTTAAGCTGCCTTTCATGCAATAAGGGCTTTGGCCTTTTGATAATTTAATCACATCTCTTCACCCTGCATTTGATTGCTACTCTTCCATCTGTTCTGTACTGAAAGGAGGGAAGCCAGGACCACATAAGCAGGCAGGGCTTCCAGGGCTTGCTTCCAGAAAAAAATCCCACTACAGAGCACCACACTTTGAGAAGTCACCACTAATTCTCTCCTTATGTGACTTGCCCACCAGAACACTCTTGCAATTTTGAATCTGACTTTTTTTTCCAAAACTACATTCATGTAAATACTAAAGTGTCCTTGGTTTACTTCTGCAAATAGTGTCATTAAAAAAAAATTACTTGGTCTTTGAACAACAAAGTATGAGAGTCTGTTCTAGATGTTAGCTGGTGCCCAGGGCTGAGGGCTATGAACAAAGCCTGCTGTACAGAGAGTTTGCTTTACTCAATGGGAGTTAAGCATCAAACAAAGACTTCAACTCTGATGCCTCAATTCCCACATGTAAAATGGTGAAATGGGATCAGCAAGAAGCTGGAGAAAGTGCAAAGGAAAACTCTACACAAGAGGAAAGTTCTGCAGCCTGGGAGCATAATTTGCCCTCATGCACTTTGAAAAAACACAGCACTGCAGCTCCAAGAAAGGCTTTGTTTTCCCATGTGACCTGTGATATTCCCAAACAACTCTGAACAGAGCATCCTAATGTCTCATGGCTTGTGAATCAGCTCCAGCTCACTCAAAATTCCTGATCCAGACTCCCTTTCCCTGGACAACAGGCCTGGGTAACATATCCATCCTCATTTCTTCCCCAAGCAGCAGGAGTTGCTAATCCTGGTCTCCCTGACTTCATCCAGGATATTCTCAGGACAGAATATCATGGAAGGAAGAGGGACTTAGGAAAGTTGGGGGGAAATTTGAAGAGGGTCTGGATGAAGTCCCTGGGGCTTCCTATAGAGAACCAGTCACCTAAGAGGCACAACGATCCTTGGTTAAATGAAACAGAATTATTGTACAACCAATACACCAGAGTGACATCCCAAATTAGACAGGAGCTGAGAGCAACCCCACTGTATATTAAATAAGGCTTGCTGCACTAAGCCCTAGATTTCAGAGCAGCCCTGCAGCAAGAGAACAATGATATTTCAAATGTATCCAGTGTCAGAGGCACTCCAGCAATTTGGAGTGTAAGCCCCAGGCTAGCTCTGCCTGCAATAATCTGCAGGCTTGACTCTGTGACAGATTGAAATGCAGTAATAGTGTTTATGCAACTAATTCTTGTTCTAATCTATTAGTTTATGTAACCTTTGCTCATGGACATACTGACTCATAGGTCTCAGGAATCTAAAGAAAATCTCCTTTAACTCTTTCCCATCCTTCAACCCCTGTTGCCCAATAAACAGGTTGTCAGAGATCTTGTTCATTCTCTTTGAGGAAAAATTATGTAGGCAATAGGAAAAAAGGTATCAGTTAAATTTCTCAAAACCAGTGTACTTCTCCATGCATACCAATGAAGTCATGTAATAAGCTCACCTGTGATGTGCAGGTGTCCTCAGGTAAGCATTTCCAGCCACAGCATGTACCATTTGAGCTGGGAAAGGCACAGCAATTGGTTGCTTAGCTCCTACAGAGAAAAATTACTACTTTCTATCATTTAGACTTTTTTTTCCCTAAGTAAAACAAGGCAAACAAGGCAACAATATCTGTGTCAGTGACACTTATTCTTCCTAGCTTGAAAGATTTATTTTCATCCTTCTCATATTTCTTGTATTTCCTAGCACATTCTCACATCTATTTTAAGTGAAGAGCTGACCGCAGGAACAGTGTGCAGAATTCCTTCTGCAGCAGTCACAACTCTAGTGATTACCACACAAAACATGCCCACATCAGCTTATTTTATCCCTTTCTGCCTAGGCTCTAATATAGATTTTTGATAGGATTGGAGTCAGATCAACCCTTTTTGAGTTTTTTGAGTTGTGAGGTTTTTATGTTTGGTTGGTTGCTTTTTTGGGGGGGGGGGGATTGTTTTGGTTTTTGGTTTGTTTTTTGTTGTTGTTGTTTTCCTAGGGGTATTTTTAGTTCTTTTTTTTTGCCTAGGGTTTTTGGGATTTTTTGTTGCCACTGGAATAGTTCACACAGCTGCTGCAATGTTGCTCTCATGATACCTGTTAAGTACCCTACACCTGATTTAATTTCTTACCCTTTGTATCGAGGATTTCTACACAGACCAAACCTGATTGATATCAACTGCAATCAAAAGTATTTGGAGCCAAACCCTTTGGCGTTGGGTGTATTTAGGAGACATCATCATGTATTTTTGATGCATGCTGGACACTACCAGTACTAGATAAATACTCTGTAAATGGACCAGGCATTCCTCATTACTTGTCACAAAAGCAGTGTAAGAATGGGCAGAGTGGCTCTTTCTAGTAAATTCCTTTGCAGGTGGGATGGTGCCCCAGCGAGTTCCTGTCACACTGAAGCGTTTGCTCGGGCAGGGCCAGGAGCTGGGGAGCCCCAGTCCCGGGGAGTCCCGGGGAGCTCGGGCAGTTCCAGCACTGCCCTGTGGGGCCCTTGCCAAGGAAACCCAGCAGGGACAGCCCCAGGACGGCGCCCGCTGGCCCCCTCCCGGCCACTGCGCAAGGACAAAGGCATCGCCCCCCCACGTCAAAGAACCACTGCATTATATGGAAGGTTTACTCTTTTTTTCCTGCAGTCACCATTTCGACTTTTTATTCTTACATCTTTGACCCTCAAGATCTCCCTACAGTCTTTCCCAGGATTTTGAGCAACCTTTAATTCTTGTTAAACACGAAAATGTCTGGGATGACAACTATAAATCTGTTGCTGCGATACAGAGAGCAGTTTTAGGTGCACTGCAGAGACACCTTTAAATTAGAGCACACAGATCTACAGCTTTCAGTATCTGATTCCAGATGTAAATGCTTCCAAAAAGAAACATCACCTTTTGCTCTCAGTTAAGTTTGCATCCCCTAAGGCTGTACCAGCTAGAGCTGTATTACACAAGGTGCAATTGCTATGCCACATACACGATTTTGTGCTTCCCTGCTAACCTTAAGATGGATTAGTGTCTACAGATTCACCTGCCTGCTCAGCAATCCCTCCCCATTTGTCTAATTCACATTATGTCTGGCTTAAATTCATTATCCCTCACTCAGAGAATGAGGCTTAGGAAAAACAGTCTAAAATAAACACCCGTCTTGCCTTAGAGCAACTTCTGTTGTTCACTACAGCTGTGTGAACAGCTCATTTTTCATGTGTAGACATACAATCTTGCAAGGTCCTGCCAAAGTTTTGGAGTTTAGATTACTCTTATCAAGGCTGGGAAGTGTACAAAACTGGAACAAAAAGTCGGATATTGCACCCAAAAATTTTTAAAACCATGCAAGCCAGAGCTACACAAGTAGTTTTCTCTGTGAAAGTCTCTACTTGTGCATATTATCTCTGAACTTGGAGTTTATTAACAAAGTAATTTTTAAAGGAACATTTTGTATTCATATTTTCCTAAAACATCAACAGCCAGCTAACTTTCTTAATGCAATTTACATTACGAAAAAACCCTTGCAACCATAAGAACACATTCTAGTAAAAGCAAACCTGAAACTCCTATTAGAAAACACAGAAAAGTCATTAGAAAGGAATTCAAGTTCATATTTTTCCATTTTGCTTCATACATTCAAAAAAAAGTCACCTTTAAAGAACTTTTGCTTTCCTCTATTATTTGCACCAAAGCCCAGCTTTGGACAGGAGGTGGTGCTATAGTCTGTGTAAATTTTGTTATTAGGCAACACCAACAGCTAAAGCTTACTAAAAGCAAAAGGAAAAGGTAAAAAAAAGAGAAACATTCTAAATCCTGTAGAAGTGCAGGCATGCAGACTTTACCTACAGATGCTTTCATATCAGTAGGTATTCTGTAACAGTGCTAAAAAGTTTTGTAAGAAGGCACTGAAATATTTGTGTCTGTCAAGGCAAGGATTTCAAATACCTCGCAAAACAGGATTATTAAAGCATGGAAAAAACCCCTGTCATACACAGCTCTGGGAAAGCTGTAACAGTTTATATGTGGCCAAGGCTCTGCTGAGCAGCTCTGGGCCATGGGGAAACTGATGGAACACTGGAAGATTTTTGCAGCTCCAGTGAGAGCATTCTGCCTGCCTCTCCCTGAAGAATGCCAAGGTTAGCTGCAGGGTCAGATTCACTGGGCCAAGATGAAATGCCCAAGCAGGAATCCAAAGCCCATGCCTAGGTTAATGCTCTTTCTCCCTCTCTCCTTTCTTCTTTTTCTGTCTTTTTCCTCATGCCCATTTAGAAGCACCAAACACGGCATCATCTGAAGATTTTTTTCTTGCTGTCCGTGTTGCCCTGTCTCTATGCCCATTTCCCACCTGTAACTTTACTGGGAGAGCTGTTCTGGATTGCAGTCTGCTTGACAGTGACTACCACCAGCAGCCAAGCCGAGAGAAAACAACTGTGGAAGACTGGTTCCCTTCTGGCTGCACTTCCTCTCCCATTCTCATCTTTTCTTTGGAAAGGAAGCTAACAAATGACTCCCAGAATGGATCCAAGGGGGATTTTCCAAGAGAGTAGATCTTTCTTTTACATATTCCTTTCTGAAACTATCAATTATCCATAGCCTGCTAATGCCAAGAACTAGGTGTCAGACCAAGGCCAACAGCAGATTGTGGGAGAAATCTTATCTCACTTACACAAGTCTAGATCTGGAGGAACTCCAGTTATTAAACAATCTATAAAATTAGGATAACAATAAGTATTATTTCAAAAAGGTTTGTGATGGCTAACTAGCAGTAATTAATGCTGGTATGGAAATCAGCCAATGGTTGCCTGGAAATGAAAGGCACTATAGAAATTCTAAGTACTCATTATTTCTGCCATTTGCAATTATACTTTTCAATGTAATCTATTTGTTCTAGTCAGGGTGCCCATCAATACTCCCTGCAGATCTCAATCTATTGTTCCTGAATAATTCACTGGTCTCAATAACATTAGATCACATTTAATTGGGGAAAAAAAAAAGTTTACCTCTTTCTAGATGCAATTACAGATGAAGGTACCACTAACATGAAAGTCAAAATTCCCAAACACAAGGGAGTGTGAAAGTCAAAATTCCCAAACACAAGGCAGAAGAACTTGAACATATTTCACTCGACATGGATGGACTTGAAGATCATTCTATGGCTGCAAAATGGGATTAAAAAAAAATAAATTAAAACCCTTTTATTGAATAGTATCTGTTGAAGCTTTAAGGTTATTAATAAATAATAGCAGGAGTTGGGCTTCAGTGTAAAATGATGCTACAATTACTTACCTTTCTAAAGACCTATTGATGCTTGTGATCCTACAGCTATATCTTCTTTAAATAGTTTTGTATCCTTTATCAAGGAATGCTCCTATAAACAGATTTAAGTAATTACATGCAATCAAATTAATTGTAAATCAGAAGTGGATAAAAAGGTTTATATGTCAAATTAGCCAACTTTAAAAACACATCTGTTGAATTCCCAGTCTACTGGGAATTACATGAATATATGATAAATTATTTGCTGTTACCTAGATAGGTGTCAAATGAGCACTGTGACATCCCTGTTTTTAAGGTAACACACTTTGGAAAATTGTTTTGTGAAAAATTTTTTAAGTAGTCTTTTAAAGCTCAAGGTTTGACACCTAAAAATGTGTGTGTTACAAAATATGCACCAGAAATATTGAATATTTGTAGTACAATATCTAAGTCCACAAAACAGGAAACTCTTAGCTGTTCAGGGATTTAGGCTAAGAAGGAGGCTGCACTCAGAGATAAAGGAGGGAATAGTTGTGTTTCATGTCCTGTATTTATTCTGATTTCCAGCTGTGGCAAGAACAGCACAGAAAGACTGAAACGGGGAACTTCACAGTGGAGCAGAAAATCAAAATGAAAGCTCTCTGCTCATCAGCTTTGCCATTACCTCCTTCCACAGGAACTTGGGGAGGGCAGGATCTGCCCCTCCAGGACACGCTGTCCCATCCCGGGCTCGCTGGAACAGGAGCTGAATCAGCAGATGGTTCCTGGCTGTGGCTTCCCAGATGTCCAAGCTCCCACAGCTCCAGGCAGGCAGCACGGCTTGTGTGGGAGCCAGAGCATCTGGCCTGGATCATTTCACTGGGCAGCAGGGCTCTGAAAGCCATCAGGTGTTCACAGCAACTTCAGCACTCCTCACACAGCCACAAAAGTGAGCTCAAGCAACAACACTGCAAGAGAAAGCAGGCAGTTGTTTTCTTGCCATCCTGACGAGTGCAAAACTGCAGAGAAAAAAAACACTACTTCAGCATTTGCAATAATTCCAATGGAGAAATAAGAGTAGCAAAAGTACTGACTGTGCAATATTTATTTAATAATTAACTATCTTACAGACATAAAACTAAAATATATGAAGCTTTTTCTTTTTTGGGTAAAAATTATCTAAATACTTTCTTTCTTCCAGAGGACTCAAAAATTAACAGAAAAAGCTTAACCATGCTACATATACAGCAGAACATTTTAAATGAAATGAAAAGAATTCTAAGGTTCTACAAACCAGAATCTTAGAACAGAGGATTCATTAGGAGGATTCAGAGGATTCATTTCATTAGGATCCTACTGCTTTTAATTCCTTTGCATTTCTTTGGCTTTTAGATTAAACAACACTATGCACTACACAAGCAACAGTAGTGAAGAGAACATGTAATACAAACAGCTGCTAAATTTAAGGTATAGGTTCTTGTTATATACTGGCTGTGAAAGAAGCATTAGGAAACAAAAGGTGATGGCAAATACTTTGTTTCTGAACTATAAATCTGGTTAAGATCTGGTTGCTTGAGGCCACCACACACTCAGAGGTTAAACACCATTACGTTCATAAATACAAATAGGAAGGGCTGTAATTGCAGTTGTCTAAGGAGATATGCGTTCCTTTGTGCTTGCTTATTTTTGTTAAAGATATAAAAGAAAACCATGCTATTTCTGGCCAACACGAATATTCAGAATTAAGCTACTAATATATAAGATTTCTTCTGAGTGTAATTGTAGCTTTTGGAGCTCTCTCACACCGGCAGTGTCGCACAGGTGCCTTTTTAGGGCTGCCAGAGGATTTATGAAGCCCAACGCTCAGCATCATTCCTGCCCGATTCCAGCCCTCCCTCGGGAAGATGGCAATGTCTGTTCTCGGGGAGCCTGGGACGGCGCGGGATCGCTCCCGATCGGCTCCCTTTGCTTTTCTTGGCCGGCGATGCCTCTCCTCGAGCTGCTGCTGCCGGGCTGTGCCGCGTGCGAGCCGGGGGCGGGCCGGGGAGGGGCTGCGGCGCTCGGACACCGGGACAGCGGCGGGCACTCGGCCGGGCCCGCCGGAGCAGCGGCACCATGGCCGGTAAGTGCGGGAGCGCAGCGAGGGAGGCAGGGAGGGGGTGCCCGGCTCCTCCCGCAGCCCCGGGCGGCAGGAGCTGGGGAGGGCTCGCTGAAGCATCGGCCCAAAGCTGCCCCTGCACCGCCCGGCCGCGCTCCGCTCCGCAGGGCTCGAACAGCAGGGCTGCCGGCACCGCCCGGAGCGCCGGACAGGGGGGAGCCCGGCCTGGAGACAGGCACAGCAGATGGGCAGTCCTGCCTCCATCAGCCCCAGTTATTTAATTTATACTGACTGTGTTTTATGTGGGGATTAAAACTCGTGGTGGAGAACGGGCTGCTTGTAAATTTGCTCATAAGCCAAAAAGCTTCCTGCAAAGTTTAAGTAAAGCTTATTAAAAGCGTGTAATCACACAGTAGGCAAAAAGGGATGCAGTCCCAGAGGAGACAGAGACAGAGGATCCTGTCACCACCTGCTCTGTGCTAGGATAAACCTGGTACCTATCAGCAGGAGACAGGCCCCTGGCTCAGGTAGGGGGAGATGAAGCGGTCCAACAGGTCTCTTCCATCTCTCTGCCATGATCCTGTACCACAGCAGGATACAATACATCAATTTCTCATGACGCCGGATAAAACATGTATATTTTAAATATACAGATTTTCTCCCTGCATACAATGGATGCAACTTATCTCAGTGGTTGATTTGTGACTGGTGCTACATTGTGCCCTAAGTCCCTGGTTCTGTTGCTGATCTAATCAGATAAGGTGGTCTAAAAGTGAGACAAATTCTCCTTACTCTCATTAAAGTACAGGTAACTTCTGGAATGAGTAAAACTTTACCTTATATTTACAGCTGTGTAAAGTTTAAAAAAACCCACAATTTGAGTCTATGCCTATGGGTGTGTCATGAATACTTAACATCATTCTGCAGCGAACAAATTCAGTACATATAAACTCATTCTCTTACTCCAAAATCAATGCACACCTCATCATACTGTCTTTAATGGTAAATGGTGACAAACTGGCTATAGGGGGACACAGGACTGCTGCTGAGAACAGAGACTTATGAATGAACAGGACAAGTTAGAAAAAACCTGTACAACTTACTTGGAATGCTAACCTTTCCGATCAGACAGCAAAACTACCAGGCATATAAAGATTTGCTGTTTATAGTGCACCTACATGAAGGAAACCATTAATTTCTATTATGTTCATGGGCATTAAACTGAAGCATTTTTTCTGCATCTGGCCTTCTGAGATGCAATAAAATACGAGTCTGACTGAAGATATATTTGAGCATGCCCTGAAAAACTAAAAGGAACAAACACACAAAATTCCCATGCTCATATGCATTTCCTCATACTGTGCATTCTTATCAAGGAAAACCCACATTTACCTACATGGCACAGTCAGACTTGTCTCTGTATTAATATTAACCCACACCAAGCAGGTGCTTGTTTCCTGTTGCTCAGAATAAGGATTGCACTAATAGCATGGCCGAATGCTGAACCCACTCAGCTCACCCACCAGCTGCAAGGCCAGCAAAGTGCTGTTGCTGTGGTACAGCCATGAGCAGGGTGGCTGCTCGTGGTGCTGCTGGGAGACAGGAGTGACTGTGTGACTCAGGGAACCAGCCAGCCAATTCCTGCAGAGGCCTAAGGCAACACACCTGGAGGGGAGCTGCAAAACCAACTTGGCCCCAGTGACTCCACCAAATGCAGGAAAATGAGTCAGGATCAGATTAAGGCCTTTGTGGCGCTATGGGCAGGTTAATTTTATAGCACAAGGTAATTACTTAAGTGTTCTGTAGCTGAAGGACATTTCATGTCACTTACTGCAACACAGCAACACTGAAAAAGATCAGCAATATATGTATTTGCAACTCACCTCCCATACTATTTATAGCTCTAATGAATAAACTAAGTTAAATGAAAATAGTTTGGAATTATTCAAAACTATTATTATTTGATAGTCAAAACTATCAGTAGTGTTGACTGATGATTTTGTGCTTGTATTGTCTTTATTTTACTTGTACCATTGTAAAGAGATGGCAAACTGCAAGGTACCTACCAAGCACAGACAGATAAAAAGAAAAAGGAATAAAGCATAATTAAGTTAACTCTACCTAAAAGCAGAGAAGAAGAAAAAAATTCAGCACCAGTTGTGAGAAAATGCCAGGTCAGTTCACTACTTCAGTTTCAGGGGAGACCTTGAGAACTGTCAGCAGCCAGTGCTCAGCTGCTCCTGAGCTGTCTCCCATGGCTGCAGAGTGGAAGACAATTCTAGAGTTTAGGTGCAGAGCAGAATAATCTTTGCACCCTATCACTCCACAATTCTCAGCCATCATGTGAAAGCAATGAACTGAGCCTATTACCAATTGTCTACCCTTGGTCTAACGAGAAATTCTCACAACAGAATTTCTCATATTCATATTAAATATATTTATTAAGATTTATTTGGGTTTGTTCACAGTAATTATAACAAGATTTTGTTGTATGTTAAGCACTCATGATTCAGGAAACTGTGTTTAATGGATACTTAACTTTGACTTCACAAATCAAGAAACACATGCATCCTTAGAAAGAAAACAACCCATAGCTTTACTTTGTTCCTTGAGCCAGGGTCCATTGCAGTAACTGCCAGTGCTTCTGAACACTGTAATCTGTCACTGCCATTGTCATGTCCCTTCAGGTGCTGCACCATGCTATAACCAAACAAAATGTGCATGTGAGCAGAATGCTTCATTTAATAATAATTTTGGAATGGTTTTTGTTAGCTTTAATATTCCTGTCTACACCCAAAATATACTTAACTTTGATCTTCCTGTGATGTTTTGTGTGCTTTTATGTTTGAACAGAACAAGCAGTTGCTGTGGCTGGAGGTATAATAGGAGGGATCCTTTTATTTGTCCTCCTTGGAATAACTGCATATCTGCTCTGGAAAAAATGTTGCCGCCTCTTTTCTTATGAAAAGCTCATCAATCCTGTCAAAACAACAAATGCAAATGCCATTTTCCCGGATCAGGCAAACTCTGAAATTCATCTAAAAAGTACAAGGTACCTATTTTCATTCTGTTTTTAAAGCATATGCTATGTAATTTATTTCAACTTGTCAAATGTCAAATAAGCAGGTGATCCAAATATATGCATGTACAGAAATAAAGGAGATCCTTAAATTATATGAAAACATCAGTCATGTTCTGTTTTGTTCCCTTAGGAAAAGGATAATCTCACTATGAAAGTGATGGTTATTCCTGATTTATTTAAGAGAGAGAATATATTCAAGTGTAATTGGTGAATGGATAGCTTTATCTGTTAGACATACCCAGCCTATGTTCCAGAGTAATTTCAAGTCTAATAACAGAAACAACAGGACTTCAGTTCAGGAAGGAGACTCTTTATGAGAATTAATCATTGCAGGGGTTTTGGGCTCTAAAACAAGCACCTGCAGTTAATTCTTCCTTTCCTTTGAAAGATAAATTCTAAAGGGAAGGAAAGGGGCAAAGAGAAGAATCTAACAGGAGAATTAAGACCTAATGTGCCTCACTGTCTTTTCATGCATTAAGCAATTTATTTTATTTGCTTTTGGATTTTATTTTTACCTTTGCATGTCTGTAGAATTTTTACATTGTGACATAAGAACAGTAAACTTACTCCTCTCATCAAGTTTGATTTCCAGCTTTAAACCAGAAGAGTCAATAGGTGCTGTTGTCTTGAGCAGGTCCAGAAGTGTTCCATTTATCATTCCACCAACACTGCATGGGCGAGACTGGATTCACCTGACAAATGAAGAACAGGTTCAGGAAGACAGGGACCCCTTCATGACCCCTCAGTCTGGGCCACGGTCATCATTTCATTCTTTGGGTATGGCATTGCAAAAATGGGACTATTTTTAAGGGTAGGGTGGCTTTATCATTATGAAGCATATATCTTGGGGGCACAGCAGAGACTGCATTACCCAGCACAAGCCCTAAATGCTCCATGCAGTTATATACTTTATATATGAGAATTGGGCAAGAATGTAGTCATTTTGGTCCCTTAGACATTTGGCAGCCAAAGCAATTTCTCCTCCCATATTTTGTAAAGGCCAGGAAGTGTCTGTTGTCCCCAGGAACAGCAGTCACCAGCTGCACTCTGCAACAACAAACAGCTAGAATTAACCAGGTACAATCAAAGGAATAAGAGAAAGAAAACTGCTGCAGCCTACAATTACTCCCCCAAATTTGAGGGAAAAGGAAATAAAATATGAAATTCTAACCAAAAATTGATTGTTAATAAAGAGGGTAATCTGATTTACCCCAATACAACAGTGGTTATAAAAGTGCCTGCAATGGTTCTTGAGGCTAATCTGAGGGTGCTTGTTTGCCTTTTCTTGTAGCTGGAGCTTATGTTGTAGGAACCATTAACCCAGATCTGTACAAGTTTCCTGAAGACAAAAGTGAAACAGATTTTCCTGATGGCAGCATTGGCCGCCTCTGGTTCTCCATAGAATACGAGCAAGAGTCAGAAAGGCTCCTGGTCTCCTTGATCAAAGTCAGAAAGCTGCAGCCTCCTGCTGATTCCTGCAGTCCATTTGTGAAAATCTACCTGCTGCCTGATGAAAGAAGCTACCTGCAGTCCAAAACAAAGCGTAAAACTCTTAACCCCCAGTTTGATGAAAACTTTGTTTTCCAGGTACTTTTTCTTGTGATGAGGCAGATTTTTATTTGCAAATATTAACTTGTCAAACTACGGTACACGTTTGTATGCTCACAATGCTTCTACCAAGATAGAAGTGGTTTCCACCAGAGACAGGATTTTTTTACTGGGGCTTCTGGAGATCCTGGGCTACAGAAGCATGTGGCTCCAGAACTGCTCTTACTTCTGGTCTGTACCAAAGTTGAGGATTCCAGAACTTGCCCTGGGAATAATGAAAACCCCAGTTTGAACTAGAGCTGAGCAGTTCAGCCCAGAGTTCTAGAAGTCCAGAAGGAGCCAATACTGACATCATGCTTTCACAGCTTTTGGTTTTTTTGCTGTGGAAGTAGGCTAGACAGCAGAACCTGGGAGGAATCTCTGGGCTGCTGTTTGTACAGTACTGCACAGCTTGGCTTCCCATGCTAACAGGCACATGCCACAAGACAAAAGCTCTAAAACCAAAAAATGTTTGTGTTTCAGACAACCGAAAAAATGTTTACAGATTCTAAACATCTGAGTCTGAAAGTGAATGCATCACACAGCACTAGATCCATATGAGCTAAAAAAACCCACCAACTAACTTCACAGCTTTCAAATGAACTCGTATTTTAGCTTGGATCTTCCACATAGCTCAAGCTTTAGGCAAATTTTAAAAGTACTTTAAATAATTAAAGGAAATCCCCACCTAAACTTACTCAGTTTGAAAAATATTTCCTTTGAAGTCATGCTAGAGTAGGAAAGTGTCAGATGTTTTATAATTATTAATATTCTTCATTTTCCTGTACAGGTTTCCAGTAAAATGTTGCTCCAAAGGACACTAAAGTTTTTGGTTTATCATGTTGATAAACAGAAGAAGCATCATCTCCTAGGTCAAGTTATCTTCCCACTAAAAAATGAAGCATTAACTGAGGACAACAGACTAGTCATATGGAGAGATCTGGAGAAAGAAAACTTGGAGGTATGTGATACCAGGCTCTCAGCACTGTGCAACTTCTGTCATCCTACAAGTATTGGAAGGATATAGCTAAAGTAGAACTACATTCTACCAAGTACCTCAAATGCAAAACTTCATAAACATTTGGAATAGAAATTCCCATCTTAGCAACCTGCAGATCCATAGCTGTTGTAAAAGGGTACCCAGATGCTTAGAAAAAGTCATATGAATTAGGAGATTGCTACATAAGAACTTTTTCAATTAGTAAGAAAAAAAGGAGCAGAAGGGGAAAGGAAATAGCTAGCCCCCCTGGAAAAGTAATTCTGAGGGTTAGGAAGGCTGATTAATTGGTTCCATCAAATGTTACAACAGAATAAATAAAGCCATTACAACTCACTCACATGCCTCAGTGTGACAGAAACCATTAGCATGAAAAGGGATTTTTCTCCCCATTTGACCACACGATGAGGGAGTTTTTCAGACAAGTTTGACAAGGGTTGTTCTGCTTCCAAAGCCTCCTTCAGAGCATGGTGATATCCAGTTCTCCCTGAGCTACAATGACTACCTGGGCCGTCTCACGGTGGTGGTTCTGAGGGCGAGGGGATTAAAGCTCCAGGAGGAGAGCCCTGCTGTTGGTAAGTGGGATTTCCTCCCTGCTGTCAGCTCCACAATTCCTGTTTTCATTTGCTCCTTCCTCATCTGTACACCCAGGCTTGTGCTGTGGGACTCTGACAGGAACAAATAAATATCCTGGTGATTTGAGTGGAAACAAGTCATATTCTGCCCTGAGGCAATTAGATTTTGATAGCTTAGTTTTGCTATCTTTGGAGTTTGTTTCATAATAAAAGGTTTGTCCTGTGGCAATTGGTGGTAACTTTTTTCTCCTGTTTTTGTACAGTGAGCAACATCCTTTTGCTGCTCTCCAGTCCAGAGAAGGCAGCATTTCAGGGGACATTGACATTAACAGTTGCCTCAAGTCAAATTCCCAGGGGTAACAGCTGCAGGATAGCTGCTTATACTGAACATCTGTCCTGGGAGGAATTGAGCTGAGACAAAAAAATCTCAGTTTAGGACAGCCTGGCTATTGTTCAAAGGACATGGCATGGACTCACAATTTTCTCCCTTAGTGCAGAAGGCTTTTTCTGGTACATCATACTCATGTATACCTGGTCTCAGAGATCACCTCAAAATGCTGTTGAAAATCTAACACTCAAAAGCAAGAACAGATGATGAACTAAACTTATATCTCAGTCTGTAGTGATTTCTTGCAAGTTTCTGAAGCTAAACAACATAAATGCAAAATACACCTACAATTTAAAAAGAAAAGAAGTTTAGTCCTCTATATATATTATACACATCACTATGATGTTTTTTTTGACTGAACAAATTAAGCCTTCAAAAAGTCTCCATCAGAGGAAGGGAAGGCACAGAAACATAAGATCAAGGATGCAGGGTAAGAATATGGCTGCTAATTTTACTAGCATTTAAACTGGAAAGTGCACTTCAAAACTGCACCCTCAGTACTTTGTAGCGTCCCTGCTTTATGTCATGCTGGCATGTGTGCTCCATCAATCTTTCACATCCATCAATCTTTCACAATCTGATGTTACACTTGATATTGACTCCCAAAAGGAAGAAATTCCCTAAGCTGTCTCCCAACTGCTTCTTGAAGACGTATTTTAATCTTGAATTTCTTTTTCTCCAAGGTGTGTATGTCAAAGTCTCACTAATGAACCATAATAAATTCATCAAAAGTAAAAAGACAGCAGCTCTTCTGGGAACTCCCAACCCTGTGTACAACGAAACCTTCAGTTTCAAGGCAGATCAGACAGAGCTGGATACAGCAAGCCTGAGTCTATCTGTGCTCCAGAGTAACAAAGGAGAAAGTAAGTTATATAAATTATTATAGTCATATAAGTTACTACAGTCAAGGTATCAAATCTCTGCTATATTTGAGACATGTTTAAACCTGAGAGGAAATAATTCCTTTTCAGCAATAATCATAAAACATGTAAGAGTTTTGGGGTGTTTCAAAGGCTGTCACTTTAAAAGCAGAACAACTTATTTGTAGTTAAGCATATGTCTCTCTTCAGAGGCTACATTCCATGGAAGACATGAATAAAATCACTGTAGCCTAGTCAATGCCAGTACATGGTGCTATGCCTTTGTTTCATTCCAGTATCTCATTAAAACAAACTATGTGAACACTTGTGTGTGTCACACACAGCCTCCAAAACTGTGTGGCCATTCACTCCTTCTAGGCAAATTTCAAAGAGGAATAGAAATTTTAATTCTCTTAGCAGTGAGAAAGAAGGAAGAGAGATTAGCAAACATCCCCATTCCCTGGCAGAAAACCTGATGCTTGAGGCCACCTCTTACTGTTAGAGAACCCATTAAGGAGTTCTGCTTACAGAAGCAAATCAGAATTCAGTATTTCCACATATATTCAGTATGCTCACAAGAAAAACATCTTCCCTGCAGTGCAAATATGATCTCAATAATTTTCCCCATTCATAGCTGAAAAATCCAGGCATGAATAAACAATCTGGTCCTTGGCAGTGGCAACACACATATTACAGCTCCCAGCTGTCTCAGTAATTGCATTGATTTCTTGCAAAGCCAGAGCATCATGTGAATCCTACTGAGGTTGAAGATGCCCAAAATTAGGGCATGCTTCCCCAGTAAAGCTGAGGTAAAGGGGCAGGACAGATACACATCAGATATTTGTGCCTTGAAGATGTTTTAGTTTAACTTCAGGCAAAAGGACAGGCCTGCATTGACTATACACCCACTTACTGCTGTACCTTTTAATGCTGAACTTCAGCAGGTAGAAACTACAGAACCTGAAGTCCAGGGTTACTACTTTGAGAAATGTTTCGGTTTAAAAATACCTTTCAGAAATGGCACTATTTGGAGAAAAACACGTTGTAATCTTATTGCAGGAGTTCCATGCTGTTGTCTCCTTACCACAAAAGCTCCATACCTCCTTGATGTTTCTCATGGGCAGCTCCTCAGAGCACTGACTCTTTCTTCTCACAAAGCAGCCACTGACTCCAGTTCCCTTCTCAACCACCACCCCACTTTTATAGCATCTTCTTCTCACTGGTTACAGCTGTGGCCTGTTAAAGTCAGGCCTGCTCCTGATCTTTGCTAATTGGCCCAGCTGCAGCTCCTTAGGGGTAAGATAACTTTCTACACTATCTTTATTTTCTTATACTCTATCCCCCCACAAATACATGTTGATATTCTAATGTAGGCAAGGATTTCAGAGAAGCATCACAGGTGTTCATCACTAACTGCTTTTTTTTCCCCAGAAACACTTCTGCTGGGACGAGTGGTAGTTGGGCCTTTCATGTACACACGTGGCAGAGAACTGGAACACTGGAATGAGATGATCAGCAAGCCCAAGGAGCTGGTGAAACGATGGCATGCTCTCTGCCACAGCACATGAACAGCACTGAGGAAAAAACAGCCTTAATATGGAAAAGCTCTTACGATCTTTCTCATCTAAATGGTACAAAAATCTTTGCTAAGATTTTGTACCAAACGAAGAATAAAATAAATCATTTCCTTAACCAAGCACAAATAAATGATTTGGTTCCTGGTAGGCTGGGAGTCCCTCTTTCCTCTCTTCAAAATATATGTTCAATTTAATTAACATGCAGCTGAGCAATCAAAACAGCCAAACATGATCTCTCAGTATTAATTATTTTGACTGGAAAATTCCACTTCTTGGTTATGAGTTGTGGGCACAAATGACCACACATGTAGACAGAGCCCAAGAATTGCCAGTGATGACTCCAGGCCTATCTGCCCACTGCTCCACATCACCACAGTGCTTCACCATGGGCAGAGAAGCCCAGTGAGCATGCCAAAACAGACAAAACCCTAAAGACCTGACTAATACATGTGGAACATGTTTAAAGTAGCAGCAGTGTATTTAAGACCTCTTTTGAACAGGAAGGGTGAAGGCACTGCTCATTGGTCACACACCTGGAAGCAGCTGTTCACATCCCCCAGCACCTCAGTGTACTTCCTGCAGTAACTCAGTTCAGTGTTTTCAGCTGACCCCAAGTACAGCACTTTGTGTTAAAAATAAGGGACAAGCAGAGAAGTCACAGAGTCACAAGTGACTGGAGGCTATTCCAGTACTGGAGTACTCTGAGACAGTAAGATGAGGACATGTCCTGTCCTATTATATTTCTCTCTAAACACATCTCTGCTGGAGACACAGCATTGATTACAAGAGCCTTGGGTTTGACCTAGCATGCCCATTCTCACACTGAAAATCCAATTAGCTTAAGCCCTCTGGGCATGTGTCTGTTTTAGTAGTAGAGTCCTCTTCATTAGGTAAATTACTGCTCTCTAAAGTAATTTGGAGCAATTATCCCTAATCAAAATAAAATAGGACATTTTTCTCTTTTTGATTGTTCACTGGGGACCTGAGCTCTGTACCCTTCTCACTGTACAGTCATAAACCAGACACACAGACTACTGCAGCAAAACATTTTGCACAATGGTGTTCCATAACCTCTACGGCTGAAATCAAACCAACTTCCTTTCAAACAGGATACAACATTAATTAATTCAAAGTCTTAAAAATATTAGCCTTCTCTGGGGAGATGAAACCACTTTCCATTTTGATAATATTATTATTACTTCAAGGAAATGTTATGAATGAGAAGATACCACAGAGGAATTGTAAGATAACAGACCTCCCTGATCCACCCTCTGATATGGTACACAGCACCCTCAGTCTGTCTTGCTAATTACACCACTGGATACTAAGTGAGCCAAAACTCATTACATTAAACTGAATTTGACAAAGTGCTCAACCTAAATTATATCAAAAGGGGTAATACCAGCAACTTAATCCCAAAGAGCTGTATTCAAATTTCAGCCCCACAAAACTACTGCAAACCAATCTGATAAGCGAAGTTATTGTGTTTGTTCTGGGGAGAAAAACTACCCAGTAATCATTCTGTGTACATATTACTAGAATAAAATTATTTTACCAAATAAATTTTGCATTTTATTATTTCAATCATACCAGTAAAGATCTTAAAAGTGAGCAGTTAGTAGTATTTCAGACAGCTGGTTAATGAGCATGTGCAGAAGATGCATGGAATGCAGAGTGTTTGTTAACAAATACCCCAAGGTGGGAAGTCACCTGTCTGACTTGATGTACCACTTGAGTGTGGTCCTCTTTTCTTCTCATACATCAAAGTAACAATACTTCCAGCTTGTGTGTTCAGTAATTTCTGCTAAATTGTGAAGAAACAAATTCTAATGCACTTACCAATGTACTTGTACTCATGGTCATCCTAGGGAAGCAAATGAGAAAGGCCCTTTTTGACTCTACCTGAACAAGAGTTATTTCACAGCAAGAAACATCATCAAATAAGGAGTTCTAATACAATGTTTTTAACTGTCACATAATGAGCAATTTTTTTACCTACTGCCTTTTATATAACATCCATCTAATCCTGTGCTTGCGACTTACCTTGAGCTGAAGGAGGTGGAATGATTACAAACCAGTTCTGTTTTACAAGAGAAAAGAGCAGCAGCAAAATTGCTGAGGTTAATGGCAAAAATTCTGCCGTTAGAAGAAGGAAAGCAACCACAACAGCAAACAAAACCACCAAGCTCCAGATAGCATATGGGATAACATAAATAAAAATTGAGTAACTAAAATATTACTGAATTCTCTGTCTTCCTCTAATATGCCAGGTCTCAGGAAAATTCAGTCTCTCACAATAGTAGTGAACTTTTCTGAGGAGAAAAAGGAAACCAGATATGGAAGAAATTGTTGGAGTTTATTAACATCATTATTACCACAAATATGCATGTATAAAAATATATTATGCATGTATAAAAATATATCCTATGAAAATTCATCAGAATTACTCCAGCAGTATATACTATTAGCTGATATTCCATACCAGTCCTTTTGATAGTTTTGTTTTTTTCATAAGTTAAAACCAAAATCCTTTATTATAGTTTTTAAAAGAGATTTGCTTCCTTCAGCTAAGTAATTTTTCTTCTGCTTCCCATCTGTGTGTCCTTATGGTCTTTGTTACTCAATTAGTGCAGAGGTCAAAGATCAGGATGAAAATTCAACAGATGGAAATCCTTTTGCAAAGGATAGCTGTTCTCATCTAGCACAAAGTGGCTTCTGATTTCCAACAAATAGGATGCTTCTGTATCTGCCAGCAGTGAATGACACAGATCTGCTACTATTGTGCTGTAGGTTACATCTGAAGAGGGCACTGAAAAACACAAAACAATTCAATTTACACCTGATTTTCACAATAGCACCTAACATTCAAGTTCTACCTCCATGAAGCTCCATTGAATTACTGCAAGTGAAGCTCAACATCTGAACAGAAAATTAGCTTTTATTTTTAATTACTTTTTAAAAACAATAAACTGAGCCTGTTTATCATTAAAATGTTAACACCTGTGAATTACACAAAACACCTCAAGTCAAACAGGATGTATAAAGTGAAGCTTGTCTGAAACACAGCTCAGTGTTTCACCTCAGTGTTTCACATCATGAAAACATGCCAGCTCCTTCTAAAAGCTCCTAAGACATTCAATTTGGCACATAAGGAATCTATTGAGTTATTGAATATTTAGGTATATACCTATTATATAACTAAGTCGTAGTTATTCACACCTCCCACCTCCTGTTGTTGCAACCTCTCCTCTGAAATTCTGAGTTTGTCAGACAGCCACTTTGATGTTGGTTGTTTAGGGTTTTTTTAAACTGTCAATGATTAAAAATTTTCCTTCCATTGTGAACTTTGCTGCCTGTTTCTATCACAAGTAATTCATGAATCAGTACCTACTAATCTCTTCAGCCAGTCTGCAGGAATATTGAGGAAGATTTTTTCCATCAACTCAGACGCCACATGAACGTAAATTTCATGTCCTTCATCTTCTACTGTCATCAAAGCAGGTCTAGATCAGAAAACAAAGTTTCATGAAAGTTAGCTGCTATGGTTTGTTTTTTGTTGAAGGAAAATTTTAGAAAGCACTACAACATAATACCAAGAAAGAGAAAAGTGAGAAAATCTCTATGTACTCGTGTCAAATCTGTAGCACTGGAATCAGTTTGAGGAATAAATAAGGAAATGGCCTTAAACTGAGACAGGACACTCAGATTAGACACTAGAAGGAAATTTTTTACTGTTAGGATGGTCAGGATTGCACATGGAGGTGGTGGAAGTGCAAAGCAGGGACATAAGCTTAGGTGTATCACCTGGAATTGTACCACCTGTATCAACATCACTCTGCATTATCTGTCTTAATACATCACTTTATAGCCACATAATGCCAGGGTATAGCTCTTGCACGATAAAAAGTACCAAATGTTTTCACAAACCACTGAACAAATAAAAACACCTATTTGGAAATATTCCCAAGGTGATGCACTCTTACTAAATTAATCAGAAGAAAATATCAGTGCAAAAATGTCAGGCTTTTCTCTGAAAATAATGGACATGTAAATTCTACATCTGGACGTGTTCCCACGCTGAGAATACAAACATTGGAAATCCTTAGCATTTTTCTACCCTCTTTTGTGCAGGAGCAAATTGAGGTCCTTCACGCCCACTGAGATTTTATAGCCTTATGAAAGACTGGCAGAACCTTTTCAGTTAAGGAAAAAACCTCTTTGCACTTAATCCTCCCTCACAGAAAAACAAATAGCACATAAAGATGCAAGACTATTTTGCTTAAAGGAAAAATACTAAGTCACTACCTGATTAGATAAATAGGATATTTAAGTCCTAGTTCATTAAGTAATAGTATTTAAGTTAATGATTCATTAAGCTCATTATGAAAGAGTTTAGAAAGAATTTGAGAAAAAATTTAGATTGAAAATTTACATATTCTAGAATTCTATCACGTCCATAGTTGTCTCAATAAACATTCTCTAGCTAAATGTCTTTCTAGTCACAATGAAAACTGCATTTCAAAAGCCCAAGATAAATGTGAGAATTGAACAATGAGTTAATAAAGATGTACCTACATCAACTGGATCCACTTGGTTTATTTTCTCTAAGTGTGAATATTTTGTGTCTCACAGTGCCATCTGGTGATAACTCACTATCTCAGCTCTCCCAGAATGTTTATTGAAAACATTTGTCAATATTAATTCTGCACAGCTGAAACTGAACTAATCAGTTAAAAACATGGTTCTGCCTTCACATGATTTCAGATTTAGGCTGGAACAAGATTCCCAAGGAGTTTTCCTTTGGTCCTCAAGCTTCTACTCCACCTCAGCTTTATCTGACACAGTACTGGGTAAACATCATTCCTGCATGATAGTATTCATAGAAATTAAAAAGTTAGACTTAAACTAAGAATATCGTGTATAAATAATGACAATATAATACACCAATTCAAGAACAACAAATTGAAAATTCATTAGAGAGACAGGGATTGCTAACCACACCTTTAACAAAGAATTTTAGGTATGGGGGAAAACAAAATGGAGAAAGTTCGCCTCCCTAATAATACACATTACTTTATTTTGTTTACCTGTAGAATGTTTTAACTTTGCTGTATGGTAGACATCTAATACATTGCTTA